CTCCTATGTCAGTGATTTCCACGCCGGAAAAGTCCAACTAAAATCGCATGAACGAACAAAAAAGCCAATTAAATTCCGCGCTAATGCGTATATAAAAAAATGTCTCGTAATTATTTCTCTCTTCAATCTTTCAGTCAAATTCCAAGGTAGGATTTAAAGTTGACATTCTCCGAAATAAAATTTAAATTAGAGCTTAATTAAGAAGCGATTCATATAAAAAATAAAGATAATTTAACGTAAAGATTTAAGAATATAAAAAAGTAGTAAAATTAATTTTTGCACGATTAATTCCAAATTTCTTTTATTCCAGCTACGTCTTTAAACTACATTGCTTCAAACTAAGTCTCAATTACCAAGTTATTCAGAATTAAAAACTTAAAGATTGTATTAGTGAGATTAAATTACATCGATTAAACTATGTCAATTAAATGTGTACTAAAAAAGATAAATTTTTCAAAGATTTTCAAAGATTTTTACAAAGAGATAGTTCAAAAATATTCTATGTTATTATTTACAACCATAAAGCAAAATTGAGATATTATATTTATCGGTTTAGTATTTAACGAAATTACCACCACACGTTGGCAAAAAGATTGATTCCGACGTGTCTAGCGGTCTTGTTAAATTAAATAGTTCAACGGGCCCTTTTTGTCTTGTCTGGTGGCTTCGCGTAATTCGAGGCCACATGTTACATGTACTTAGCGGCATTATATACTAGGGTGAACTGATGATATATCGCGGAAGCGAGACAGCTGTGCACACCCACCTGCTGTAGGCTGTACTCGGGAAGTGTATTCTTGTGCTCCAGGAATACATCGTCGACGAAAGCGTGGTATCTGTAGAAAATGGGATCTCTCATAGCGGTGGCCGGTTCTCCCATGATGCTGAAAGTTTCCTACAAAGAGGCACAAGGAAAAAAATGTTGCGTTTATCATTTCAATATGTAGCATGATTATTCGCATCAATCCTCAACGCAAGAAGTAAAGATGCGATTTTTTCCTCGACTCGAGATACTGCATGTAAAAAAGTTCGAGGAATAAAACGATTGTCTCAACACGCACGAGAAGTGTTTAACATTAAAAATTATAAATCATTGTTAATATTAGAAAAAAGTTTTGACGAATCTATCGTTATTTTCATATCGAACTTTTTGCAATGATAACAGCACATGGTTGCATGGTTGCATATCCCGTTACCAAGTAGCGATGATCGGGATCATGACAGTAAGAGATGGCGACATGACCGAGATTGTGAAGGTCCCCGTAGACATTCTGATTGGGCGATAAGATGCTGGCCTCCATAATATTACCGAGCACGTCCACGCCGCCAAACTCGGTCAAAGGCACCCTCTCTCCTCGGGTGTTGATGTAAGCGCCGGTGTGAATGGCCTCGTAGATGCGATCGCGCCATCTCTCCAGATCTTGAAGATCGAAGTTGAGTTGATCCACGGGACGGTTGATATCCTTGAGCATGGCGCCAGCCGAACGAGCGGGCCAAGTGCGACTGGCCACCAACGAATCCAACTTAGAGAAGTAACCCTCTGGGATCGGCTCGCGCCAATTATGGAAGCGCTTCACTCGGCCCAATCGGTTGCACAGACGCTCGCAATTGTATCTGCGAAAAGAAAGAAATCAGGCGGAATGAGAATAATAACGGCAGGGGCCTCGGAAATACCCTCAGGCGATATTCGCGAATGTTCGATCTATTGACATAAAACGACGGCAAATACTTTTGTAGTAAAAAGAAAATCGTTATACGAAAGCTAAGTTTTCTTACAGATAAAGATAGCCTTTTAAAAAAGAGATTTTGCACGGACAGCTAGAGGATATTACATGCTAAGAGAGATATTAACTTTCAAGTTTCAACATTATTTTCTCTTTACACGATATCTTTTATAATGTGCATTTAATTTCTCCGACGCATTTTAATAAATGTTTCAACAAGCATACAAATTTCACTTCTCAAATCAGCCGCATAACAAGTTTCCTCCGATGATTTTACGCATAAATGCATTTCAGAACCCATTAGCAAACATTGCTGGAATACCATACAGACTCGAGACAAGTTTCCGCACGATAATAACAATCGAGATCAAAATTTGATCCTCGGTCGTCCGCGTGATCTCGCAGCGCGGCACGATACGGTATCCAATCTTATCGACTTACGGGTGCCTTACCTAGCTTGGATCTGATGGTGCATATAGTAGAATAGCTCGCCACGTCGATCCTTGTTAACAATCCTTATGTCAGTCTCGAATGGATAGACCAGATGCCAGTGCCAGTGATGAAGATTGAGCCCGATATCTTCCCTCCAGTAAGCCACGCGATGCTCCTCGTCAAGATCCGACGCGGTATAATCTCGCGGAATTTCGATAGGCAACTACGGATTACACGAATATAATAAAGTCGTAAAATATAATAAAATTTTTCACGTTTGTAGATTGACGTAAAGCGATCCTCTACAGAAACAATTATCTTCTAAATTTGCCGCGTATAGTAATTTTCATTGTATTATAACTCTTTGCTTTAAAAGCGATTACTGCGAACAATATTGGAATACTATACAGATCTAATAAAACAATCTCTAAAGTATGTAAATTTCGGAGAATTGCAATCGAACATCTGAACACGATCCGCTAACTAAGCTATAATGAATTGTACATCCGTTATTTAAGCTTTTAGTACAATCTGTTAAAGAGTACAATCAAACGTGCCTTGTCTTGCGATAATTTTCCCAAGCTTAACATCAAAAAGCGTAATAAAGTCAAAAAGAAAATTTTATTGTATTTTATATCGCAATTATTCGGTTTGTATTCAAAGAATAAGTTAGCTGATTAATTAAACCGCATAGTCGGGTAAACGCGCTTGTTGGTAATTAATGCGTCAACGAGCAAGTGTATTATACCCTGGAGCCAGCTGGTACAACGTTGGCTTCCTCCCTCGCTCTGGCAAATATCGCGCTATCGATGTACTTGTCCGGGAAAATTTCCGACAGCGGTGGTATCGGTAAATCCTTGGTGTCGGGACGATGTAGGATCGCTACCGAGAGCGCGTAGACGAACATCTCGGGATTAACGCGATCGCGACAGTAAACAGACACCGAGAGAAAGTCGTCATAGGTTCGCATACCTGTAATAAGACAGATTAAAAATTAATCGTGAAAGCGCATGCACACAAAAAAAATTTTTTTTTTTTTCAAAATAAGGAACTAATTTAATTAGACGATTAAAGTACACAAATAAGATAAGATATTATAAATAAAATCGCGAAAACAAACCTAAAAAGATGTCGATAAGTCGCGCAGCTAATTTTCGATGTTTAGGGATGAAAAGAGAGAAGGGTTCTCGACGTCCAAGTTGAAGGGGAACGCTCAAATCCGGTAGACTGATTTGTTTCACTGGTACTTTCGACGCGGTATCTTCAGCGAAACGGTTAAACACCTCAGGAGCCATCGGTTGTCGATTTTCAGGCTGCAAATTTGTTCGAAAAAAAAACAAAATTTATACTCAAGAACCGCTACCCAAAGAAAAAGAATCAATAGTATTAACAAAAAAATATTCAAGATTCTTTCTTCGTTTAAATAAAATTTTGTATATTATATCATATATCTAGAGAGAGAGAGAGAGAGAGAGAGAGAGAGAGAGAGAAAGAGAGAGAGAGAGAGAGAGAGAAATAAATTTAATATTACAGATTATTTACAAAAATTTTGTGAAAAATTTTGTGAAGAAGAGGATAACTTAAGAGAAACTTAAGAGACATAATGAGAAAGGTATTAAAAAATTTACACTATTGTTGACAATTTTTTTTAGTTTCTAAACTCTCAAAAAATATCGCACATGATGACAAGAGAGAGAGAGAGAGAGAGAGAGAGAGAAAGAGATCTAAGACACAGTTTAATTTTAACATATCGAAAGATTCAATCGAATCGTCTAAACTGGAGAGCTTCAAATTTATACTGTAAAATTCAATGTTAATCACACGGAATAAGAGCGTCAAACAAGAGCGGACTCACCAGGTAGTTAGCTGGTACTTGAAAAGCGACTCTGTTCTCTCCCTTAGGCACGTACACCGGCTCTGCGGGTCGATCAAACAGATATAGGATATCCGATTTCTTGTTACCCGACATGTTGATCGTCAACAAGTGCGCGCAACTAACTCGACAAGAAAGGATCGGCGATTACGCGACGCGTACGCTGGAAATTGGTAGCGATGCTTGATATCTCGATAGCGCGAGAATAAGAATTGCTACGTTGTTCCTGAGACACAACGGGTTTTTAACCGAGTGTCGCGATGTCGGCATTTATAGGAGAATCGCAAAGGATATGGCGGTCTGTCGGCGATAAACGATCGCGCTTTCGAGTGACCGCAAAATCCGTCTAGGAAGTACAAGACAGTTCAGGAAAGACGATGAAAGCACTTCGCTCAAATCAAATCCTGTGTACAGGTTTTCCTGTTTTCAAAGGAAATCGATGGCAATTAAAGCTACAGTAATCGCGTAAATCGGAAGATAGACCGACATATATTATTCTATCGCAAATCGCATCTAATTCTTCCATATTCTAATCATTGTGTTTTTTTAAAAAATATAGAATATTTGTATAAACATATATCCAAATTAAAGTATAATATAATATATTTGTATAATTGAAGCAGACATAAATCGCAACATGTTAATTATTTATATATTTTGATATTAAACGTTATTATTCATGAATTATTATGAACAATAAGCTATGGTGATTATTATGTTTGTTGGCATGCAATTATCATTCAATATAGTATAATTTATAATCCAGCTAAATAATTGGCAAATATTTAATTAAACTTTTAATCACTCTCTAATCAATATATACATGTATATTCTCCAACATTAAATATAGATGTACATCATAATAGAATTTTATAGTTTTAAAAAGGGAAACCGGCGAAGATAAAAGATTGTGAATAGATGGGCAAGGAATTATTTTGATCTTGAATTCAATTAAGCTTAATAACCCAGATATGTGCAAGTGTCCTTTATTGACTGTGCTTTTACATTTTGTTTATCGCTTCGAGAGTCTCTATCCTCTCGACATGCCGATATGTACTCGCAAAGAGAAATGATGACATCCCGCGCGTTTACAGGCGCAGATACTAGAAACTAAAAAACGAGATCGCACGAAAATGTTATTATATCATACGATATATTTGCAATACAAGTTTGATATAATATATACGTATTTATTAGTAATTTTTACAGGGCATCTCTCTCTCTCTCTCTCTCACACACATTAAACTAGCGTTATTACGAAGCCATAATAAATGCTTAAAGTTCGAATTAAAGAGAATATTGTTTAAGTATCGGTATTAACCGAGGTGTTAACAGTTTTTGAGTTATAAATAATTTTGGAACACCTTGTATATTAAATATATAGAAGAATTTTTACAGTATCGGTTATATGCCATAAAATAATAAAGAAAATTATGTATAAAGCAATATATATGTATCTCTTTGACTTTATGTAAATTTTCTTTCTCATAAAAGATACTATAATATAGTCATATTTATTAATAAAATACAAATATTTATGATTATAATGATGATTTATGATGATAAAATCCTTTTCTATTTGCATGTTGTGAACATATATATATATATATATAATTCATATATTCAACAATGCGTACGATATATTAGATTGGATAAATTTCGAAGAGCAGAAAGGGGCAGAGAAAAGTAATAAGGAGATGCAACATATATATTATCAGCACTCTCGTTTCCCTTTGACATACTTATTTCCAGAGTCTCGTCGCCTAACAATTTATTAAATCTACAATCACAATGTGAATCATATATAACGCTACCGCATAATGCACTCTCAGTTGTGCTGGTATCGATAATCATGCAATTCCTTTCAAAATGTCAAGGGAATAAGAAATTTCACTGTCTCCCTCATGTCATGGACGCCTCGCAAGTCCACTCTAATGATAAAATCGATATGATAATTATCGGGATAATCTGAGTCCGATTGCTACATCCAGTGATCCAGTTGGAGCAGAAGAAGGAGAGAAGAAAGAGAAAAACAAAATGAAATAGATTTTATTCTATGTTCCAGAGCTTCAAAAAACTTAACACGAGAAAAATTTACGTCAAAGATAATTAAACGGTTACGAATAGCGATTAACAAAAATAAAACAAAATTAAATAAAGTGATAGCAGAAAATTGTCGATTGGTTATATTAGATATAGATTAAAAGTGTATACAAAATATAAAATCGTAAGATATAGAGTTTATTTCGAGAATATAATCTTTGCAAGCAATACAATTCTTTTCTTAGCAAGAATTTGATTGGACACGCCATTCATTTTTACAAAATTTTTAAAATCCAATATCTTTTTGATAAAAAAACAATCAAATCTCTCGAATTAAAATCCTGATAAAGCTTTCTGCTATCTATTTGTAACCTGGAAACTCAATTTACAAAATGTTATTCGTATTGTCAATCTTTATAATTTAAAGTCGATTTCATTACGGAAAGATTGGCTCGAAATTTCTGCAAGATCAATCCCTGAAGTGCCTTTCTCGCGTACAATTACCATATACACTATACATGTATAATAGACGTAAGGATAAGGGAGAAAGGAAGAGAGGAAGGGATATTAATGTGAGAGATGAGACATTCGCGGGAGAAGCTGCGACACGGAAGCCGCCGAAGAAACGTTCACCGTTCTGCGACAGCAGAGGCGTCGCGCCTTCTCCTTCTGCTCCTCTTCCGTCGTCTGCCTCTCCTACGTCTTCTCACAGATCTATCCGGATTGCTGACGATGACGTCCGCGTTCCTGCGACCGCGGAGCAGCTGCGAGGTATACAGCGACACTTGACTCGGACTCGGCCGCTCGCATCGCGGATCGTGACAATCCACCAGCAGTCGTGAATCGCCGATCCATTTGCCGTGGCAGGTAGAATTCGTCGATCGACCGCGCCGATTGCTGCTACCGGCGATATCGGTCGATAGCTTCCACCTACCGATCCCCACGTATCGGTCCAGACTCTCGTTACCAGAACGTTCCACGCAGATGCGCGAACCTGCGACGATTTTAAATGCTTACCGCTTTCGCTCGAAAGCGATATTTTATTATAATTATAACACCATGTTTCATTACAATTATACGTTCGCTGTCTGTTACGAAAAAAGCTGCTTCTATTACTATACGCTTTTAACATATACGCCTACAAATACTCTCTTTCGGCTTTTAATTAGTGGTTGACAAAAAAAAAGTCAAAACTAATAATTATATAATCATGCAGAAATTAGCTTTCCTCTACTAATCATTCTCTTTCTTTTCATTAATCATCTTTTAAATAATATATACATATATATATATATATATATATATATACATATATGTGTGTGTGTGTGTGCTGCGAAGTGTGGTGCGTCGTCATTTTGAAGATTGTCCGCTCTTTCGATGGATGCTGTTGCCGCGGAGGGGATTATCAAGATGGCGAGGGGAAGGGCAAGGGGGGGAGAAGTCCTCGCCTGGACTCGGTAAATCGTAGCAGCTCTCTAGGCTTTCACTCGTATATTTATCGGTAGCGTCGTAAATTCGGCGCTAATCGCGTTGGTATTATCGAAACTGAAATATCGAGAAGACGATCGAGATATTTTTCGGACGTTGTGTGGTATTTTCTGGCCTAAGGAACCCAAAGCGGAAAATAGAACGTCAGGCGAGAAAGGAATTCTCTTTATCTCTCGCTTTTGACGATCGTTTGCATGGTCCCATTGGATGATTCA